TCTCGTATAACCTCTTTAACGGCCAGGAAACGTAAAATATATTATTATTAATGCAAAGCATTGTTCGGTATATGTTAGTCGTTTTGTATATTTCGCTGTTCAGTGTTTGAACCATTTTGGTATTGAACGAGGATTTATGACTGTCCAGTGATGCAGAAATGTTATTAGCAGTTTGTTGAAATGTCTGAAATAATGACCCTCAACTTCCTAGCGAGAATGTCACATTCTTCCTTCCAGGCAATGATGAATATTTCTATACAACATTTACTTGTACTCTCTGCTACTACTGAAGCTATGGGCCGATCTATATTCATCAGCAGAAATGCTCTGAAACTGGTTTACACTGGTCCACTTAGAACAAGATGAACATTTATGGCTTTCCATGGTGTTACGTGTTTTCTGTCCAAGCGAGGTGGCACTGTTTGTCGGGTTAAACTGGGCCATGATATAAAACGGAGTGACTTCATTTTATCGTCAATTCTTGGTATTTTGAATCTACTATGGACGTACCGAATTATTAGTTTATTTATTTTATACGTCTAATGTATCATCTAATGACGCTTACAATGATCTTTCACGTGGAAATATCGTTCGTCACCTTTAAAGTAAGTTTATTTAACTCGTTAGGTATAACTGTTGTGTCAAAATGTCTCGTCGAAGTAATAGCTTACAATCGGTATGTTAGTGTGAGTATTTATTAAAAGAAAATGATTAAAAAAATCTGTAATGACGTAGGAATCGCGTAATAAAATATTTAATTTCATTGTGAGAGAAAAAAATGCAAAAAAAAAAATTTAATCGCATTGATAAAAATATGATTTTTCTGAGAGTATTTGTCTTTAACTTATTTAGATATTAATTATATCTCAGGTAGTCAATATATTTCTTGCTACCTGATATCAGAAGAGTAGAGTTGTACGTGGACCTTTTAATAGCCCTGTTTAATTAGTAATAGAACGACTATTCCAGCAGATGGTGTCCCAATACTCATATAACGTAGAAACCAGTTGATTGTTAAAAAATAAATTTCAGAAATAAAACCCTCAAATTTATCATTTTTGGCCCAAATAGTGATAATTTAATTTGACCGCAAATTATGACGGCATACGTATTAATTTTCAATCCCAGATTTACAACAAAACTTTTTTTGTTGTTGCTATTTTAAAATAAATCAGAATGGTTTTTATTCATTTCAAATTTCTAAATATTGCGATGGTATCGTTTCTACGTGACCTATTTAATTCCTTCAAAATTTCATTCTTATTCTTAGCTAATCTGACGCGGCCCTTAATTTATAAGTTGGAAAACTGTTTCTAACCAGTTTAGTAAGTCAAAAATTCGATATTCTAAAATGAAACACAATTTTCTGGAGAAAAAAAAAAACAAATTTGCTTCTCCGTATAATCTGCTCAAGTTTACCGGTGTTTCGGAGGTCTTTGCTGTCTCTGTCATCAGGGCGATTCGATCTCTTAAACGTTGGTAAACGTCTATCACACTGTACAGCGATAGAGCCCATAAGACAGCCATCTTCCTACCCACCACCCTCAGAACTTCAAATCATGCTCCATAGTCTTTAAACGATATATTTAAAATATTACTAACACGTGGAATGTTACAGCGTTCAGACCGATTTTAGACCTCCACTCTACTTCCTGTCTAGTGTGTCGGAGCGTGAAATTAACTACGCACCTCTACCTGATGCCGAGATTAAGTTGTAGAGCTAAGCTTGCATGGCGTAGTGCCTAGTTTAGTACAAGGGGGAGTTTTACTTTGCCAGTGTTACGAAGTTCCTCTAACACTGGTAGTTGACACTGCTCGAATTTCTAGTTTGCTTCAATAACGACTTACTGATGTTCAAACATCGCACTGAATTGTAAAATTGGGAACCATGGTCCAGACACCACGTCGCAGAAGCTATTGGATATTTAGATTCGATACTCTCCTTATTTAGTGTTGGTACATAGATTTCTATGGTTCTTAACCCGTTAAAGCCTCCTTTAATAATCAGTAACTCGTTTTGACTTTACGACTCAGTAACATTCTTATTGGAGACAGCGATTATTTCATTAAACATAATTAACCAGGTGATCTTTGTAATGGGTTAACGTTGTGTTTTCTTTGCGGTACGGAATGGATTCTTAAATATTTTTAATCTTATCTTATCTCTCTCTCTCTATCCTCTAAACGTAAATTTAATTTCTGATTCTTTCAATGTACACTGTACATTCTTATTAATAATCACCATAAATACTCGTGTTAATTAGAGGCTTTTATTTTAAAATATTATGTATTTTGTTTAACACATTTTTTATCTTTTAAGGGAACGTATCAGATTTTATCACCGTGTGATATAGAATATCATTCCATTGTTTTATACAATATTTATTTATGTCAGATGTGTAGTCACTTACTACTGTTTTGAAGTTAATCTTGTTTCCAAAATATACTGATAACATGATGGACGACTGGGGTTCGATCCCCGACGGGAGCAGAGAATTTTTCCTCTAGCCTATGCTCTGGGGCCCACCCAGCCTTCTGTCCAATGGGTACCGGGGTCCTTCTCGGGGGGTAACGCGAGACCTGGGCGTGACGTTACCCCCATCTAGTGCTGAGGTTGAGAATCAGTAGGAGATATACCTGCTCTCACCCCAAGCGCCTACATGGCGTATAGTTGGACAATATTACTTTTTTAGTTTTAATTATAACATGTATGTTTTTATGTGATTGATCTACGTACTATTTTTTGTATTTCACAAAGACATGGTAATTTATTAAAATTATATTTTAATATTTGTATATACACGTGTTCGAAGGCAGTGTTTGCTGGCCGTGAGTTATAATCGTAAGGACACAGAGAGAATTTGAGCAGTTTCTGTGGAACAGGGAGTGAAGTTAAATTTGATGTTGGTCGTCATTAACTTTGTGGCGAATAGGGAAAATGAGGAGAGGTGTAAGTTGAGTTCTAAGTGAGGCAGTTAACTTGAATCGGTTATTATAAGCTATGATATTATAACGTTAGTGCCACGTGGTAGCTCTCCACCGTCGTGTTTGACTCAGGAAATTCTTTTAATCAAACATCTGTTTCAAACACTCTAGTGCTTTCCTTGTGCGGTTAAACTTGTGATCTGATAGCACGTATTTTATAGTTCTGTACATTGGATTTCATCGTTACTGCAACATTTATAAAAGTATGTTCTTTTATTATACTACGAACGTCTTTAAACGTCGTCACATATTTCTCCGTTACGTTTCACTAACCACTTCTCCCCCTTCAATTTTTAAGAGGATGTAACAGAATTACTCTATTTATTTTCATAACCAGTATCGTTTTGTGTTATCACTAAAAGGGCGCGAACATGTCATGTTACTAGACAACTAACAAACACGTTACAGACACTAATATTTTATCTGTTGCTTCTTAAGATAAAGTTCAAGATTACTCTCTTCTGGGATGCTGTACCGTCTAGTCTGGAAGACGTTTACCGACGTTTCAGACGTGCTTGTTTATTTCATTATCAGTCCAGTGAGATTAAACTGATGATTGAGGCAGAAGGTACCTTTAAAACGTCGATAAACTGGTACTAGTCTACACGACAAACAGTAAAATTAAAGTTTGTCCCACTATACGCCATGTAGGCGCTTGGGGGGAGAGCCCGTATAGCTCCTACTCATTCTTGACCTCGGCACTAGATGGGGGTGAGTGGTCAGCATCACGTCCCGGCCGGCTTTACCCCCGGGAAAGGACCCCGGTACCCATTGGATAGGAGGCTGGGTGCGCCCCAGAGCCGGTCTGGACGCAGAGGTTTATGAAAAAAATCCTCTGCCCCCATCGGGGATCGAACCCCGGACACGACAAGCAGTATTTCAGAGTTAAATTCGTACTCGACGCAGTTAGAACCTGAAATTTTACGAGTGTTAAAGTTTCTTATGTTAAGAATCTGAAAAGAATTGGCTGTTTAAAGACATGTGAGATCACAGGCTAGAACCGATGATTTTGTCTGTATAGGGCCTAATGACAAAAATCCCACCTGGTGTCCTACCACTCAATCAACTTTTACATATTCACCCATGGACACACCGGTATGTCTGTTTAATATTAATTTAATACGTGTCAGTGTTTGAAATTAAAACTTTTACACACTTTTCGTATCTTTAAAAGGACATTCGAAGGGGCGACAGAATTCTTTACCGCAAGGCTTGTCAACTGTATCACATTCCCCTGATAACCTCAGATAGAATATTAATGTTACTTATAATACTGAGAATAAAACCAAATATTCAGTATTATACTGAGTATTAATAACTTAATGGACTACTTTTTTATAAGATACTTTCTTACGTTGGTATTCTGTCATCTCCATTGTCAATAATTTGGTCTCTTATGAGTTATAACACCTTGTGGACTCGTAGTAGATACCAGAGAAATATGTTGAATTTTCTGCCCTGAAGATGGAAAGATTATGTGTTTTTAGATATTATTTTCTACCTATTAGACTACGCGGTGTGACTATTAACAATTACGTCATCTGTCATCTTCACAGCCCTTTGGCCCTCACGTCTCAGCTCTAACGTCGTTAATAGTTGAGTAGAAATGATGACGGAAACGTCAGATGGTTTATTAATGTTCTTAATTAATTTAAATGGCTGTATGAGTGGCAGTACTAACGGTGTACTTAGCGTTGTGATGAGAGATACTAATGTCGGTATATTTCCTTACTGACTAATTTTTTGGTGGGAAATTAGTAACTTACTGAAAAGACACAAAATCTGGTGATCTTCTTACAGTCCTCATACGATGAACCGATTTAAGCTGTTATCTGTTACTCAGGAGGGAAGATTTTACCTTGGAAGTTGGTATGGATGTAAGTGGTACATATGCAAATTGTATGCATGAAATTTCGCGACGGCTAATATAATTTTTTTTTTCGTTAGGTTAAATCACTACACAGAAGATTATGAGAGAGTTGTATATTATAATACAGATTTGAATATTTTTACAGGTAACCTCGGACGTGTGGATCTGATATCAGAATATGAATATGATTTGTTTATACGTCCCGACACTTGTAATCCAAGATTTCGTCTCTGGTTTAACTTCATCGTGGACAACATACGTATCGATCAGGTAAGTGGGAGTTTATCGTCATATTGTGATCGTATTACATGAAGCGTGCATATATAGACCTGGTCCTTTATCATGAAATTTCTCTTATTATACATAATTTTTTCTGAGTTTCGAAAAATACAAGTTACTTCGGAACTTTGTGAGTCATCCCTGGGTCACGAAGTACATAATACGTAAATAAGTTACAATGAGTATGAACATTATATATTACCTAAGTTCCGAAATAAAATTAAAATTTTTATAGATCCAATAAAAGTAAAGTTTTGATACATCTGATTTATTGCAATATAAACGTTTAGAGAATTATCGATGCGTTGATGTTATAAATGTTAATCTCCGATTACGATCCATTATACCAAGTTCTCGTCTGTGTTTATTAAACGTAAAATGTATTTTTGGTAGATGTTTAAAACGTTTATCGGTCGTCACTGTTTATTCAACATACACGTTAAATGATAATCGCAAGTTTCTGAAAAGTTAATTAGTTTAACAGCATAGATAAAAGCTTAGACTATTCCGTAATTAAATTAGTTTAGAAATATCAGACGTAATTTATCAGAGGCTTAATTTTGTGTATTTTTCTTTATTTTTTACTTGTAACGAAACGTGGATTACTCGTGTTTTTGTGTCTGATGTTCTAAAAGGTGCTGCTTTAGCCAGTAGGGGTGAGTTAATGAAGCAGGGTGCGTTCAATTAGCTCTCGTCTCATTTAAGTCAGAAAGAAAAGCTTTGTGAAAGGGTAACATCTTGAGAATAATGTCTCTTCTGATACGTCTCTGTCTGGGCACAGTATAGTGACGTAGCACAATGTTCTTAGGGCAAACTCAAAGAACAGAGCATATTTTCTGTATGTACAGTTGTTATTCTCTGTTTTCCTGTCTGATTTTATCAAAGAAGGAAAGAAGGCTTTTGTTAATTGAAAGAATGAGGTATCTTTGAGAATAGAGTTCTATGTTCGTCTTGATTTACGATAAAATATTCTGTTAAGATATACGTTTGTTTCAGCAAGGTAGTTCTTCAAAAAAAAAGAGCTTAAGTTGTTAATCTGTTCCATGGTCAACTTTATATAATTAATATTTAATAAAACTCCTGTGTTCTTGACTAGATGTTTTAAGAAATATTTTAATTCAATGAAAATTAATAAATGAAAATTCGTTAAGAACGTAAAGTTCAGTTATATTAATATGACGTAATACTAATGATAGTAAAATATTTGAAGCGATATGTAAAAACACAAATATATCCGTTTACATGGAATTATTTCTAGAGTGAATTCTTTTATTATGTATGGAATGGGAAATTTGTGCTCTGCGTTATGGTTATGTTTAAATCTCTTTATGATAGTATACAGAAAATTTCAGTGAGATGCATTACAGTTAATACAAAATGTTTCATTTCTCTTACTACGAAATGTATAAACAGAAATTAATGAACACGTATAATACTAATTGAAAGGCTGCATTAGGATTGATAGTTTATAAATACACGAAGCAATGTCCAAATGGTTCAGAGCGAGATATCGAAATTTCTACTCACATGTTCGTATCGACTCTTTTGTCGACATGAGATACTTCTGTGGTTCCCCTTTGAAACCGTCATCATAATTGTTATATTTCATTTTTCTTTTGTTACTTCACTGTTCATTATTACGCTACCTTCGACGTCTTGAACGCCAGTCCTTATCAGCAGATGGTACGACAATATTAAATTAATACAATAAGAGTATACAATCAGAGATAAGGAAATTAAAGCACGTAAGATTTGAGGTTTTCACAGCGGTGAGTATGAAGATTTCTGTCTTCTGGGTTGTTGCGCTATGTAGTCTGGTCGATGTTAACCAACGTTTCAGAGGTCATACTGCCTCCGTCATCAGAGTATGAAGATTTCTGTCTTCTGGGTTGTTGCGCTGTGTAGTCTGGTCGATGTTTACCAACGTTTCAGAGGTCATGATGCCTCCTTCATCAGGGCGATGAATGAGGCAGTATGACCTCTGAAACGTTGGTAAACATCAATAACACTACACAGCCCAACAACCCAGAAGACAGAAATCTTCAAATGAAAGCATGTGTATAAAAATTCCTTATGGTTTATGTTTGATTCTTTACTCGTCAGTGAATTATTAAACAGTTTGTAAATGAATTTATGTGTTTAGAACTGTCTATGAATTCCATCAGAGTAGATGTTGTTCAAAGAAGGTTCAGAGAAGAATAGGAAATATTTCTGGGCTTGAGAGTGTTAAATCGGGTACATCGTTTCGGAACACCCGGTCGCTGTTTTGGCTGAGCCATTACGGCCACCTGCACCCGCCATGAAAGCATCGCCCCCAAGTTTTGATTAAAAATGAAAACTCCCCAGTATTACTGCTCTCGATATCCCTTTATCTTTCTGATACTACGTTCTCCTTCTTATAACATTTGGGAAATACGTCTTCCGCCATCTGTTCTTTCCCTCCTTTTCGACTACGGAATGGGGACATAACACAAAATGGGATACAGAAATCTGATTCAATCGCTTGAATATGACATTCAATATGTCTCAATCACAGGGAACCAAGTTTTATTCTTACGAGGTGATATGTTCAAAGCATAAACAAAGGCTAACTCTCGTATGTTTTTTTACGTAAGTCAGACGAAACTACTTATTATGAAGACACTTTACGTTCTGCATTACATTCGTGATAAAATTGCTCTGTTTCAAGTTTTTCCAGACCGAAATAATATAAAATATTACACATTCTATAATTTCAAGTTTTTACGTCTTATCATTAATAAAATCTACTCTACCCCTAGGTTTAAAAAAATGCTTCTACACTCGGGCCTAGCCCCATGGAGAGGTTCTGCCACCCTCCAAAGTTTATTGTCGTGTGTCTAGACCACCTGGATTTCAAATTCCACTGCTCTGTTATCGCTGGGTTTAGACACAGCAAAATTGTGTCCTTGCGGGTTAAGCCATCAGGGGATCGTACTCTTGAAATAATATCCCGGATAAAACTATTTCAATAATGACCTTGAATACTATTGTTGTATTTATTTATTATTATTATTAATACTATTTTACTCAAATAGAAATATATTACTGCTAATGGAATTGAGCCCATCCCAATACAGAATTCGAAGGTATATTTTCGTTGTAATTGTTTTTAATATTCGCAATTAAAATATTCTAAATTCGATTGTAAATCTTGTTGAGACCGATAATTTTGTATGAGGCACAATTTTATTTCGATAAGCTGTTAAAATAAAGTGTATTAAGTTAAATTTAATTAAATTTAAGTGGTAGAAAGAATCGATATGAATGAAAATTAAATTCGCCCAATATTTTACGTTCTTATTCAAATACATTACTAATCAAAATCGATTTTGTGTTTTGCATATGAACATACAGATATGGTCAATCACTATTCGTTTTATCTTATGCAACTCTGAAAGAAGTTAACAATAATTCATCAATTTGTATCTTATATGCGTCATGTTTGTGTTTGATTAAATATATTTATTTTGTACAGTCTATACACAAACGTTTGAAGTTTATTGGTGTTGTAAAAATTATATAATATTAAAACATTTTGTTGTGTAAAATATTATATTAGCGCTCTTAATCGTAAATACGATTTTACATTATATTTTTTAGCGCTTTTATTAAAACGACATGTTTCGACGAGTAATACCGTCGTCTTCAGGTTTTTATCAATTTAAAATATTTTAAAAACTATTAGATATTTGATGCAATGTATTATAATGATCCGTAGTTCTGTTTGTAGCTTTCCATTTTCATGGTATTGTGGATATTGTGGAAAAACGTTTGACGAAAAATATAAAAATTTTCGAAAAATCTAAAAACGTAGGACATTGTCCAAAAAGCGCACAAAACCAAATTTTTTTGAAAAATTCCGAATTCAAAATTTTTGCGAAAATGTCGAAAATGTTTAGTTTTCTATGTGTTTCATGCCATTTGGAGCCATTTTTAATTTTTTTAAAATTTCAATTTTTTCGAAAATTTTCGAAAAATCAAAAAACGTCGGAAATCGTCCAAAAAGCGCACAAAACTAAGAATTTTTGAAAATTTTAAACTTTTAATTTTTTTTTCGAATTTTCCGAAATTTTTTGGTTTCTATGCGTTTCGTGCCATTTGCAGCCATTTTTAATTTTTTTAAAATTTCGAAGATTTTTTAAAATTTTCAAACGTTAGACGTTATATTTATCTGTGGAATTAATGTTTAATTATTTTCTTGGAATGAGTATGAATTGACATAGGAAATAAATAAATAATCGTATAAATATGTATTAAAAATAGTAAACGAGGAACATACCAAGAGATGTTATATTTAATAATTCATCACTATTACTATGATACCAGAAGCAGGAATAAATCCCTGCGTTTTACGTCAAACTATCGACATTTTAAGTTGGACAACGAGCTATAAAGTACTATGTGTGGGGTTATAATGTTTTTTGTATGGATAGTATATGTTTGTTTACGTGCTACTACTCCTAAATCCTCTGAAAAACTTTCTTTTACTTCTGACGGACGTCTAACGCTAAGATTCGCCCCGATTTCTGTACTAATCAAACACACAGTGGGTAATGCAGTTGACTATAGAACACGCTCGCTTATACGCTCGCTGTTAACTCATCTCCCACAGGACATGCGCAGAGCAGAATAGAAAAGAACGCGTTCCTTACTCGACTGTCACTTGGAATTTTCCATATGGAAGCGAGAGACGTTTCCTGCACAAGTTATTGCAGGGTGGTGGAACACTTATTTAGAATGCTCAGAACAGAGTATAAAATTACTTCTCTAGAGATTGTAAAGAAGAAAAATTTAAATTCAGAACACAAACTTCAAATTTGTGGATCTTATGTACTCAGTAGAAAGTGACGCGAACAGACAACAAAAGCTGGTTTAATCTTTCTCGTGATCGTGAAACGTTCTGCTGTTGTACGTAATGTAACCAGACTATTAAATCTGTACTCCGTACAGATAATAAGTTTTTATTTAAA